TTTGTAAGAAAGTGATTTTTCTCCTTCACTGATGTGTGGAAATGAGGCTGCAGTGATGGGCACTGATAGGCTGCACTGATAGGTGGCACTGATGGGCACTGATGAGGAGGCACTAGTAGGTGGCACTGATGGGCACTGATGAGGAGGCACTAGTAGGTGGCACTGATGGGCATTGACAGGCATCACTGATGGGCACTGAAAGGTAGCACTCATATGGCACTGATAAGCACTTTTAGGCAGCACTGATGGCATTTATAGGTGGCACCGACGGGCACTGATAGGTGGCACTGACCGGCACTGATAGGTGTCACTGAAAGGCAGCTCAGATGGGCACTGATATGTGGCATTGATGTGCACTGGTAGGCACAGATATTTGGCATTGATGAGGCACTGATGGGCACTGGCAGGTGGCATTGATGGGCAATGAAAGCTGGCACTGATGGGCACTGACAGGTGACACTGCTGGGGCTACACTGATCATCAGGGCACACTGATCATCAGTGCCCTAATGATCAGTGTACATGTCCCCTCCGAAGAATGCCGATTACCGGCTCTCCTTTCGAGCTGTCAGTGTGACAGCTCTTGAGGAGAGAAATGCTGATAACAGGCATTTTCCTATTTACATGTTATCAGCTGTGATTGGACACAGCTGATCACATGACCGAGCCGACATCTTTGGCTCTTTCCGGCGATCGGTGATCCGCTGTGTCCCAGGGACACAGTGCACCACAGATCGTCGTGCTGCTGCTGCCGCGCATGCGTGGTTAGAGTGGGAGGACGTCATATGACATCCTCCCAGAACGAGAGAACCGCCTTGCGCCCATCATTACCTTATATGGCGGGTGGGAGGCGGTTAAAGAAAATACTTAGGCATACTGCACTAAGTCAGGTTTGATCTATGCTGGCGGCACAAAGAACCAAACCTGGACTGCCGCGCCGCAAATATGAAAAGACTAACCCTATAAAAGCATTACTATTAATTCAATTATAGATGACAGATTAAGCAACCAGATCAGAAAATGGTGATTTTTCTGGATTTTCTTGATTAAGGCCATAGCGGTTCAAAATCGTTAGCATTGTTTTACTGGATGTACTTGACTAGCCAATAAAGATTTTCAACGTTTCAGTCCACCGGCTTATATCTATCTATATTCATCATTTAGAATACTGGACTAGTTCTACTGCAGATCAAAATGTGGCCTAACATAGAAAATAGTCTAATCTAGCATAGCCTCCTCTCTCCCTTTGACACCCCAGAGGTAGAGACCGCCTAGGGACTCTGCCTTTGTTTGTGATGCACTTCAATTATTAGATGACTATTTGAACAAGGTTCCACAATTGACTACAATGCCCTTTCCACCAATAATGCTGTTTGGCAACTATGCATTCCTTTCACCTCTGACCCAACCTCATTTCTTCATATGGAATATAGAAAACAGGATTGAGATTAATCAAGCTTCAAGAGTGGCTGGAGTATTCTCAATTGACCACTGTTATGTGAGATCTCTGTTGCCATTAGATTTGGTCTTCAGATCTTATATGAGATTTGATCTGTTGCTCCTCCAAACAGACAGATCTGAATACACATATTCAACGGTATATCAACTTTTTCTGCAGTAAACCTACTAGCGGGCCCCAAAGGCTCCTTATAACTGGGAGGATGAATTGAAAACTTTTTCCAAGGAACTGAACTGGGATAAGATATTGACATTTACTCTCAAAATGTCCATGTACTCCAAGGCATAAGAATGTAATTCTAAGATCATGTTACCGTGGCATTGCGGTCTATAGTCCTATATAAAGTGGACCCATTTATCCCAGCCACATGCTAGAGATGTCAAGCAGCCACTGGATAAATGACCTACATTCATCATTTCCTTGTGGAATAAAATTCTACAAATCTATCAAGAGCTAATAGGTTACCAAATTACCTTTCTTTCCATGATGCCTGACTCCTGTAAACAAATTAAAGTGGTTGCAAAGGCAGACTGTTATTACCTTAATACATTCTCAGCGTTTCTCTCCTCAAAAGACATGGAGGCTGCAGCAGGAGCCACTGGTTCCAGCTGCTGTCAATCACAGCCTGTAAGGAGTGGGGGGGGGGGGTGAACCGGGCCCGCATGAGTGCACAAATGGCTTGCTATGGGAGCACTCGAAAGTGGGGAGAAGCCAGGAGCGCTGCCAGGGGAACCCAGAAGAGAAGGATCAAGGCTGCTCTATGCAAAGGCAGGTAAGTATAACATGTTTGTTATTTAAAAAAAAAATACATTTACAATGCCTTTAGAAAATAATGTACCGTATTTTTCGCTCCATAAGATGCACCTGACCATAAGACGCGCCTAGGTTTTAGAGGTGAAGAACCAGAAAAAAAAATATTCTGAATGGACTGCAGACATAAAAATGAGAAAATGACCAGAGACTGCAGACAGTACAGGAGATGGCCAGAGACTGCGGACCTTTGGGGAGGGAAGGGGAGCAGGCACCTGAATTTGACAGGTACCGGCTCCCACTTCCGCGGAGTTGTCCTTCCCTTAGTGCAGGCACCCGGCAGCCAACCGGGTGCCCACTGCTCATGCGCGAGAAGCACTGCGCTTTGTGAATGGCCCGGCGTCTTCTGGGACCTGTCATGTGTCCCAGAAGATGCCGGGCCATTCACAAAGCGCAACGCTTCTCACGCAAGCGCAGTGGGCGCCCGGCTGTCACAGCCGAGTGTCCACTGCGCTTGCACAAGAAGCGTTGCGCTTTGTGAATAGCCTGGCGTCTTCTGCAGTCACAGCCGAGTGTCCACACTAAAGGTGCCAGTGCAGGAAGACTGTACAGCGTTGGACCGAGGAACAGGTAAGGTCCTGCTGCAGAGAAGAGCTGAGCGGCCGGCCCGGTATTCTGACACGGTGAAATACCAGACCAGCCCCTCCATATTCGATCCATAAGAAGCACTGACATTTTCCCCCCTTTTTTGGGGGGAAAAAAGTGTGTCTTATGGAGCGAAAAATACGGTATGTTGAAACTTTCTGGTTTTCACGGGCACACTGGGGTAAACCATATACCCTTCCTCTGGCAGACTGGATAAGGGAGATAGATTTTATCCACTATCTGGAAAAGGATGCTCTCCTGGAAGAGGTGCTTCAGGTTTATTTACAGTTACATGGCCCATCTGGGTTTATTGTAAACACTCTTCACACTTCACCTTGTACTTATAGTGTTCATATCAGCGTATTAACCATGGTCATGTACTTGAGTTCAGATGATCTTGAGGTAGTGTCCAGCACCCTATTCTGTTACTCCAGGCACCTCCTTCTCTGCCCCCTCCTTCCCTCCATGTGATCATCTGTGTGTTTCTTACCTTCTACCCTCCCTTTCCCAATTTGCCATCTCCCCTTTTACTTATATCCTATCCTTTTCCATTTTACCTTGAATCTAAATCTGTTCCTCTTTCCTTTTAGATGACTTTTTTTCCCTCCATATGGACTCTTATACCCAAGCTTTCTGTACTTGTAGGGACACAAGGTGCTTCTTTGTTCACACCCTTGGATAAGGTGTCTCCAGGGGAAAGGTGCCGCTTTGTACTAGTCTAGCCATCTTTTTCTATAATCTCCCATAACATATGGTGTAACCATCTAAATAACTGGTATCAAATGTAAATCTGTGTTACAATCCCAGAATGTCATTGTTGCGTTTCTATGAATATATTTTAGCATATCTATTACAGAGATGGTACTTAAAGTGGAGTTCCACTCACTGTAACTGCTGACTTTTAAAAAACAGCCTTTTACCTGTCCCTTGGTCCCGTGGTGTGTCCCCCGCAGCTCGTTTCACCAGCCGTCCTGGATTCCAGGAGGCCAGCATCTTCAGTGTGGGTACCCAGCTGTGATAGCTTGCGGCTTCACAGCCAGGTACCCACTGCACATGCGCGAGTAGCGCTCTACTTCATGAATGTCACGTGTCCCATAAGACTACAGGAAGGGAGGGAGGGAGGGAGGGAGGTCACCCTCCGTTTCCAATCCCCTAGGCGATCGGACCGGAAATGGGAGTGGGCACCTCTCAAATTTGGGTCCCCGCTCTCCCCCCCACCCTCCAAAGGTGCCAATCCTTAATGGGGAGCGGGGGAGCAGTCCTTAAAGCGGAACTTTCCCTTTTGGGTGGAGCTCCACTTTAATTCAGCAATTAATAATGGATATGGAACTTTAGTTCAGATTTTTCCTTTGAGTAGAATTAAAGCATAACACTAATAATTCCAAAAATGTTCAGTCCCCCTCCTCCTACCTTGTGTTTTCATTAAAAAAGAAAAAAAAAATTGCTTTTTTCATTCCAATCAGGTCGGGCCACATGATCCTGCAGCTCTGGCTCCCCGTGTGATGGAGCTTTCGACAACAACTGAGAATTTTCAAAGCCATGACATCACTCAAAGGCTCCCATGGCCCAGCCATTGGTGCACAGTGGCTGCAGAGAGGAGGGACTGCCAACAACACAGGGAAGCCAGAGTTGTAGGATCACGTGACTGGATCAGAGTGGACAAAAAAAAAAAAAAAGTATACAGATAGTTTTTTTTACACAGCATAGGCAGGATAGATCAAAGAAGGAGGGCAGGAACATTTTAAGAATAATGTTAGGCTTTAATTCCACTTTAACCACTTACAGCTTCTAAGGGGGTCTGCTTTGACGCCAAGTGTCCCTATGTAAACACATTACTGTGCTGATTGCACATACCCAGCACAGTAACCAGAGGGACTTGCAATTGGGATCTTTCTGATCATGTGATCAGTGTGACTGCCAATCACAGCAGTCACATGATCAGAATGCCCGCCTCACCTCCCGGAATTTAGAACCTCTTAAAGGGCCAGAGGTGGTGGAAGGAAGGGGTTAAACATTCAATAAAGATCAGTTAAATATATACTTACAAAAACAGTGATTTTTTTTCATATTACCTTCACTACTAAGTGAACATAAATGCACAAAACTCACAAAAAGTATCACAGAATAATTACTAAAACTTGCCTTACCTAATACTTTTACAGCATGACTGGGACTTTCCAGAACAAGTCCTTCATCGGTGTCAAAAATAGGGTTATCTATTCCAGTTTTAGGAAATGTTTGTGCCAATTTCTTAAGTCTCATTGAAGAATTAACATCCAAATCCTGTTTCTTTCCTTCTTCTTCACGTCTACGGCGCATGTCTTCTTGCTGCTGCCGAATTCGTTCAAGTTGCGCACTTCGACGTATGGGCATTGCCCGCGTACCCAAGTCCCCTGGGCAATCCACTGCCATCTCTCTGTGCTTCTGTGGCTCTTCTGGAGAAAGCTCTACGCTGTGCTTCTCACTATCAGAATCTTCTGCTACATGACCATTCACATGGGAAGTGGTCATGGCTGCTATACAAGCCCTTTGTACGTATCTTTATTTCTGGAGGTTTGTCCAGTAATATAGGCAAAGAAATCCCATTGTAGCTAGCAGTCTCCAGGATCACAGGACCAACTTGTATAAAATATACATGAATCTATGGATAAAAAAAAAAATGGAAGAACACATGATTTAGAGACATCAGCTACCTCTATTTGAATAAAAAAAAAGGTATAACAAACAATTCTATAAAATTCAGAGACGCGGTTTAAATTTTTGCACTTTCTTTAAGAAAACTAAAGTGCAACTTTACTCTCTCAATCAACATGGACTGTGTTTAATCCTTATGCTGCTTGAATTAGTAAAGAGATAGGAAAGTGTATTATATTTACTTGCTTGAACCTTTTCTAATTTTTTACATTTCTTCAGTTACTTCCTGGTTTCCATGCCTAGGCAAATTATGTCATACATTGCAGGGGTTTTCAGGAGGGGAGGGTTCTCAGCTAAGCCAATGCCTGAGCGAAGGGCAGATGGATTCCAGGAAGTAAATAGTACATGAATCATCTTGCCCTTACTCGAGATGGTCACTGCCAGAAATACCAGGGGGCATTTTTCAAAATGAATTTTCAGCAAAATAAAGCATGGACACATGGATGGATTGGGGAGTTTGCTTTGAATACTAACAATAAATTAAATAACATTTTTGGTTTGTTGTGCTCAGAGGCAGTGCAGTTCTACTTTAAAGGTATTTAACCGATCTAAAGAAAATGTTGTTGGATATAGGAAGCACACTCTCCCTACAATCCCAAAGACATCCAGCAACGAGAGAAGTACAGCAGCTAACAAGCTATATTACAAGTTATATTGCATTGTGGTATGCCTTGGATAATATAAACAAAGAGCAAGAGCAAATCATTTTGTGTATAGACCCTTAAATGCCATAGGTGGAATCATTGGGGAAAGTTTATTTTGCAAGAACAATAATAATTTGTGAAAAACAATGCAGGAAATCAGCTTTGATCTATACTGGCAGCACAGAGAAAAAAAAACCTAGACTGCCACACTGCAAATATGAAATAACTAACCCTATAAAAACATCATGGTAAATTCAATTATAGAAGACAGATTAGGCAACCACATCTGAAAACAGTGATTTACTTCCAATTTGTAGCAAGGTGATTTATTTGCAACTCACTCATTTAGAGAAATGCCTACTTTTTGTACATTGTTTTTCTATTGCAGAAATGTGTAATATATCAGCTGCATGCAGGTAAGTAGACAAAAGCTAACATTGTCCATCATTCAATCAGCTTGCTTCATTACAAGCAATGTCAAAGCAAGTCCTTACAAGCAATGTCAAAGCCTACAAGTTTGAGATAATTTATACCCAGCAATACTATAGTGGTTATTCTATGCCTATATTGAAAAGAACTCGGTTAACCACATCAGCAACATCCTGCTCGACAGGACACAGGCTGAGTATTCACAGAACATGGGTTATAAAACGGTTATACCTTCAGGTGATTTGACAATAGAAAACCCTTTTAGGACACGCCCCTGTGTGCCTCCCCTGTAACGCTACCCAAATCCGTAAGTCCAGTTTTGTAGCAAGCAATGCAGAGTCATAAAGGAATAGAAGGGAGGGTGGCATGTGCCCTATACAGTTCTCCAAGATATGGTGTTTACAGGAAAGTCAAAATTCCTTTTACCTTTATCATGCTGCAATGAATTAGAAGAATTGGCAACAACAAGGCAAACAGAACTGTGCCAACAGGCCCAACAACAGAGTTCAAAAGACCCAACTTCGGAGTGCCACTGAAAGAACCTTGTGACCAAAAGCTGCATCCTCAGAAGATTGGATGTCTACCTGGTAAAACTGTGAAAAGTTATAAACAGATCAGAACCTTGAAGGGTTGCACCATTTGATTTTGAACCTGGTCTGGCTAGTCCCGCTGCCCACTTGACCCCCGGGACCCCCCCCCCCCCCACCCTTCCTACCCATTCCTTTACTTTTTCTCTTTCCCTCATCCAGGTTTTGCATATGTTGGCTATTATTCTGTGGCTTACACAGGGGGTTAAAAAAAGAAAAACCTTGCTATACCCTTCAGGTCTCTTTTGCTTTAATGCCTATATAGGAGGATATAATGTTGAGATATCTTGTGCCTTTTCAAAGCATTAAGACCTTATCTGGAATATGCTGCTCAGTGTTGGTCACCAAATCACAAAAATAATGTTGGGGATACTAAAAAGAACGCATGAAAGGGCAACTAAACTGACAAGAGGCACAGAGGACATGAACTATGAGAAAAGGTTAGCTGAACTGAATATTTTCTCCAGGATCACTATCTATATGTGATCCAGATAATGAACGTGGTGTATTCACCTTAAGGTCATAGTAAAGCACAAGGGGGCATTCTGTGTGTCTTGAGGAAAAGAGGTTTAACTTCTGTATAGGAGAAAAAAATGGACCATGCTAGAAGTGTTTGTTTTTTTTCTTCTTCCTCAGGGGCAACTGTGGGTATAGGGCTCTGCATATCAAGGTTGTATTTTTTTCTATTCTTTATTGGTTGAACTTGATAAATGAATGTCTTTTTTTCAACGTGACTATGGGACAATGGCCACTTTCTTCTGCAGCTTGTCCCAAGATTCTTAGCTTAGCCATTGCTGCTGCTTCCAATCTCTTCCTCTGGAGAACTTCAAACTAGGTTTTTTCCTGTAGAGCTTTTGTCTCCACCTCATCCTATGCCCAAATCTAAGAAGCTTGTGAATGGCCTGTGCTCATACTAGGGCAGTGTGTACCTTTAAGTGATATTAAAGGCAATTTTGTTTTTTTTTTTAAATAAGAAAAATGTCACACCTACTTGCTCTGTGCAGTGGTTTTGCACAGAGCAGTCCTGATCCTCCTCTTCTCTCCTGGTCCTTCCCTCCTTCCTAATGCCCTTGCAGAGCAAGCAGATTGCTATGGGGCAACCAAGAAGGCTTGCTTTCGAGCCATGGCTCGGCTTGTCCATTCACATACAAAGCTTTGCTTCAGCCTCGCCCCCCTCTTTCTCCTCACTGGCTTTGAGAAAGAGTCCCTGGAGAGCAGAGGCTCTTATGAACATCACTGGAATACCATGGGGCTCAGGAAAGTATTAGGGGGCTGCTGGACACAGAATGTGTTTTGCCTTCATGCACAGAATGCATGAAGATAAAATGCCTTGAGCCTTTACATCCACTTTAATGGCTGCTTAATTCTCAATACAGTAATCTTGTGCCTTGGCTGAATCTGCTTTCACACAGATTAAAGTCATTGTGCTGCCCAACAACCATCACTGTGGGTAGATACTTCAATCCAGAGATCCTTCCTAAATGCCTCCTCAAGCAGGTATTTGTCAAGCAATTGGGAGGAGTTCATTTATTTACAAGAAGTGTATCAGAAAGTTTCAGTCTTGTGACCTTTCAGGGATCCCAGACTGACAACAGAAGTAGTAGAAGTATGGGCTATTCTAATTTTAGGGTGGCATGCAGGTGAGGGCTGTAGTCCGTGAATGGGCCATGTGTTTATGCAGCTTAAGGTCACCAGGAGCTGCATTTAGGCAGCCCATGTAAGTGTATGGGAAATGGATAAATGCACATGACCTGTCAGTATTAGATAGAGCCTCTTACTGTTCCTTCACCTGGTTCTCTCTTGCACAAGTACCCTTACGGATCTACAGAATGTATCTGTTATTTTATGGCGATTATGTTTCTGCATGATTTATACTTCTGTGTAAGTGGATCTGAAGCAAATTTGCTCCATTTTCCCCCTCCCTTTTTTGGGCTTTTTTTTTCTCCCCTCCCCCTTCTTTCAATCCTCATTCTGTTCCCCCCTCCTCCTCCTGTGTCCCCTGCCATCCCCTCCCCCAAGGATTATAGAATTGAATGTAATGCCTAAAACACACGAAGAGAAAAAAATCAGATGAACAATCGTCCATTTTTTGTTTTTGCATGCTAGTCTCATAACAAAAACGAATAGGTTACTAGATTTACAAAAATTCTCTGAAGACAGAATACAACATCCCGCAACGATGTAAGGTTTTGTATTGTATTGTAATGTAGTCTTCCGTTTCTGAGCATGCGCAGTCTTGATCACCCAATTTTTTATGGATAAATACTGTATCAATTAAACAAAAAAACTGTTTGTTCTGTTATCGCACAAGAAAACTTTTCATGCTTGTAACTTCAGATAATTTCGTATAAACTGATCAGATTATTGGACGATCACTCCAAAAGCAGTATTTTTTCTCATCGTCTGATGTTATTCCTTGACATTATTGCTTCCATTTTGATACTTCCAGTCATTCTTGCCTGGACTTTTTGCTGTACACCTGCACTTGAACTACTCTGCCTCTTACTGCATTCTACCTGGAATTTATAATTGCCGACCTACGCATCATATACTCCATTTGGTTTCGACTTAGTTTCTACCTGTTTGTTGCATATTTCTTGTAACTGTGAAATATCCTGTAATAAAAATTATTTGTTTAAAATAAAACCAAAACAAAAAAGAAGTATGGGGACGCAGTGGCTGCAAGGACACAGCCACTCTTCCCAATTTGATGGGCGTGTGGGCAAGCGCCCCCAAACCGTACACATTCTGTTTTAAAGCACATCTGATCTTTCAGCTTAAACCAGCTAAATACAGTTCACTTGTATCAAGAAGGTATCCAAGGTCTTTATTTTTTTTTTTTTAAATGTGTTTAGTAAGCACAGACATCCTGAGTAATAAAGCCTTTCTTCTGTCAGCATGCTGCAAGGAATGTCCCCTGCCCACTCTGAGGAAGCAGGGGTCTTGCTGTAGAAGTCTGACAAGACCTCCTACTCAGTTCTGCAATCAGCAAAGCTAATGCTCCCTGTTCCATTTTCACTTTGAAAACATTTGATACAAGGCTTTAAGATAATGAAACATGAAAACTTCCAATAGGGTGATTAATTTTATAGACACACACACACATTTCATTTTTACGTATACTTGATTATACAGTATAAGCATTCATGTACTTGTC